GTGCAGTTTAGAATGACCTCCTTTCTCTGAAAATGCCAGCCAAAGTTCCAGGGACAGGAGCAATGTATTTTTTCAGTCACCTGTGTTCAGCTGTTGCAATTTTGTATCAAGGTACATTTGACAAAAAACTGGTGACAAATACCTTTTCCCTTCTAGCTTTTCTGGGAGTACACCAGGCATTTAAGAAGGAAACAATGCACTCAAAACATGGATGTGGAGGCTTAGCTTTTAAAGGTGTAAAACAAGAAAATGGCAACCTTTTTTTTTTTTTTTTTTTTCATGGGGACAAGAAGGGCTGGGCCTGTTATAGGCAGGTGAGTTATGAGGGCAGGATGACCCCTACGTGTGCTAATGGGAATTTCTTTTTGTCTGCCAGCCTGGCTTAACCCTGAACAAGCAGGCAAGTGAAAAAACACATCAAGCCTGATCCTGCCTTGCCCTGTACATTGTATGGTTCTTTACAGTCGTTAGAAGTAATTGTCTGTAAAAAATACAGATTCCTAAGGGGTCTCTCAGCTTCTCTACTTTCTGTAGATTTTCTGTCTGACTCATAGTACTGAAAGTATCTCACTCACTTCTAGATTGACTATGTTTAAAGTACCTCAGCATTGCCTGTACAAAAAAAGAAAACAGAAACCTGCCTGCTTGAGGAACAATAGCAGATCATAAGTGAAACATCCTCAGCTGTAATTGTTAAACTCTTGAAGGAAATAGTTTCCTCAAGTGACCTTGATTTTAAATCTCTCACCATTTATTCAGCAGACCTAAATGGTGCAGGAAGCATCCAAGACAGTTGCTAAAATTTAGTGGCAGCACAGTTCTTTGATATTGTCCAAGTATTGTTCCTTTATATGGGAATCCTTCTGAGAGCATTCCTATTGCCCATCAGTAACTGAGACGGTAAAAATGGTGCACATCTGATAACTTTCCTTCATATAAAACTAAGAAAGTCTATATTTTAATATAGGCATTATATGTTAAAAACTGTCCAGCAAACATTGAACAAAACGGTGGCTGTGATTGCAAAAGAGTGACAGCATTAATTTCCATGCTTCAAAAATCAGAATTTTTCACTTCTGAATATGAAACTTCTCAGTTGCTGGCATTGAGATGGAACAGAAAGATCTCTTTCCAGGGAAGAAACACGAGTTTCTCCTGCTTACTGCTGTAGGTACAGCTAGGAAAAAGTACTATGTGGTCATATTGCATTGTTCAGTTGCTAGAACTTGTATCTTCTCATCAAAGTAAACATATTTCATTTGAAAAACCAGTTTATACCAGAATAGAGTACTGGTGGCTTTTATAGAATCATTTTCCTTCTAAGTATTTTTATCCTGTTTTCTTTTATTTTTTAAAATTACAGTGTAGGTAAAACAATATCAAATAAAGGTATGTGGAAACAGTGAGGAAAATTTGAGATGCTAAGATACCTGGATCTTCATCACACAATCTTTTGAAATTTTATTAAACAACTGCAATTAGTATCCGTGCTGTATGAGGTAATTTATTCTTTTGCTTTGATCTCCCTCTAGTGTTCAAGAAAATAGTGTCAGCCAAGTATTAATGACTGATCAGAGCTTTTCTAATTATTCACATGAGTGGACATTATATAACATCGTGTTTCCTAATCTCGAGTTCATGAACTGTTGTCAGGCCTAGATGAACTTTTTTTTGTGTAAGGTTTTTCACTGGCATGGGTCTTGGTGATTTACTGCACCAGGATAGTGAGTGTATGTTCCATATGATTTAAGTGTCGCTACTTTCTTAGAAATAACTTCACATTTGATAGAGACGGAACTTTTTAAAGAAAAGAGCAAGGAAGCAAAAAGGGAAGTGTGTATGTATACAAGCTAAATACATAAAAATATTGTTGTATCTAAAGCTGTGCATATACCAATTGGGTTAACTACTACCAAAATTTCACTCACATGATTACAACTGTGACTTCCTTTTAAGAATACTTTCTAGAGTGAAATTAAGGTGCAAATCATACTTGCTGAAATTTTAAATGTATGACATGTGTATATGTTGAAGAGACTTCTTTTTTCCTGACTTTGAAAACGGCACAAAAGCATTTTCTGACCAAATAATAAACTGAACAGGAGATCTTGCAAAGATTACAGCTGAAAAAAAATTGAATGTTTGGTTTACTTCTTATGGATGCTTCTCTTTCTTTTTTCCTTAAAATCAGCACCAAGGTAACACAATTATGTGTTTGTCTTATAAATAAGGAAAAATCCAGAAAGATTTCTATTAATATTTAAGGTTAGGTATATTCACTATGCCATGATTTTGTTGCTAAAAAAAAAAAAATGTAATAAGGCATCTAAGCTATGCAGAAACAAACTGGTCAGGACTGCTTCTCTCTCTCATGTGAGTGTAGCTTCATGTAAAACGTGCATAGCTCTGGGTGTTTCAGCAAAGATACTGGAAGCAGGTAAAGTAAAACGGATTAAAAAGGATTGACTGAGCTCTTAATGTCCTTAACAAAATAAATCTTTGCAGTAGCAGAGAGGAAAAAGGAATTATTTTGGATACTTATTAATGAAAAGGCAAGAACCTCTGAAAAGGCAGAGAGAAAAAGAAATTAAAGCTGAAAACCCAGGAAACATTTTTTAATTGATTAAATTCTTGTGGCAGTATAATTTTTCACATACAATCTCTGAGACTGTAAGCTATGCCGTTAGCTAAGGTACCTGGAACTGAAAAAAAGCTGCATAAAATATTGGAGGTTATGTAAAGACTCTTGTTTTGTCACAAGGCATAAACACAGAATGTTCACAAAGTCATTAGTGAACTTTATTTCACAAAGTCTTTAGTGAGATGATTTTCTTCGTATCAAGTGTGTGGACAATTTACTGAAAATGAGTAACCTATAGAGATTAAAGTTAGGACCTGTACAAAATCAAGTGTTGTAAATTCATTAATGCTCTTCTGACTGGTGTTCTGCTTCCTTTTTCAGTAGTTGCACTTTGAAGCAGCCTTCCCACCAGTGTAAACAACACGCTGTGCCCTGGGGAGGGGGAACTTCTGCAAGTCATTTACTACACAGCTATCAGGGAAGGGAGTGAAATTGCAGTGAAGGCTTCCCCTGTCTTTACTGCTGGACAGTATATGTGATCATGAGAGTTTTTTTTTTTTGAAACATGTGGAGCCTCACTCTCTGCAAAGCTTCTGTTGCTTTGTAAAGTTGAGATACATTAAGAAATTCAACTATTGTGATACACTAAGAAATATAATTATTAGTCAGTTGTAATTTTTACAATGTAATCTACCTAAAGAAATGAAAAACCACCAAAATACAAAACCAAATGAAGCTTGCTCTGCCTGATGCAGGTAATTGCTTTGGAAGTGATGTACTTATAACCTTTGGTCACATCCTTCACCCTCAGATCAGTCTCTTGTCATTGGATACACTTGGTGACAAGCTACAGTGATCAAAGCCTACTAAATATCTTTCTTTATTAAGATTATACTGGAAAGATTCATGTTTCTTTGAAACAATAGTTATTGTGCCCCAGACTTTGTAGTTGGCTTTTATTGTACTATTTTCTTATTTTTTCCAGAAGAAATTATTTTAAAGAAATTATTTTTAAGAAATTATTTTTATTTATTATAAAGCTGCAAATTTCTACAAAGAACAAAAAAAATAAAATATTGGATTTGAACACAGGGCAAATAGTTCTTTGGGATCTTTGTAAAATCAATCAAGAGGCCTTCAAGTGACATTTCTGGAGGCCATTGCTCTGTTCTTACACTTTCCACTAAATCACTCCATTTTCTGTTTTCTATTAATAATGCCATCACAAAAATGTTACCAGCAAGCATTAAGGAAATCTTCTTTACAGAAAAGCATTAACAATTTCTTGAAAAAGAACTCCTGTGTTCCTGCTCTAAAGAAAGAAGCACAACTAACTACTCTTTTAGGAGCCAGCCATCTTTTTCTTTGGCTGTGTTTGCTCCCATAGTTGCAAACAAAATAATAGTCAAAAAAGATGGTATCATTAGAGTAATATTTAATATTTTTAAATGACAGAAAACAAGGGTGTGGATTTATAGCATGTAGCCTGCTGTTTAAGTGCGTTATCTTCTGTGATGCATAGGGTATCTCTTATTGGAACAAAAACATGCATCAAAAATACAGCATCTTCTTTCCTGAGAGCTGCTTAAAAGTTCCATTGTGCTTTTTGTCTGGCCACTGAATGAATATATATACATTCATTTATGCTAAAAAGTAGTGAAAAGGCAATTATTAAAATTTTAATTCAATAGATGTTTATTTCTTTGGGAAGCCTGTAGAATGGGGGCAGGGTGAAGAAAATACCTCTTTTAGATTTGTCTTTTCAGAGCCATCTTCATTCCACGTGCCTGGGAGGGAGAATGAGTAGGGAAAAAAAGTGTGGAAGGACTCATATCTATATTCTCCAAGACTGTAGAAATTTACTTGCACTTGGAGTAGTGGCCACATAAAGCTTTAGTCCCTATGGCTTTAGTCCCTATGGCAATGAAGCTGTGGCTGAACAGGTATTACTACTTCTACACAGTTATCATGGAATTACAGATATATATGGTGTGTTTGTGTGTGTTTTTGTGTGTGTGCGTGTGCACGTGTGTGTGTGTGCGTGTGTGTGTGTATGTAGTGAAATTTAGCTTCTGCTTCTAATCTGAAATAGTTAACAGGGAAAGGCAAAGGATAAGTAATTGTTCAGGTTATCTACAAAAACAGGTTTTAAGCAGAGACATTTGCTCTGTCCTCATTTGTGGTTATCTGCTTCAAGGCAGAGACTGCTGCTGTTCTCTGCCTTCCTCTCTTGTGTGCTGCTGATTGACACAGGATTAAGTATCTAAAAGTATTGGCAATTAGAGTGCAGCAAACCACACAGTAGTCTGAGAAATCTGTAACTGTCAGGTACATCGATGGAATTATTCAATACTTGCACTTGAGCAAGTGAGAACAGAATTTGGTCTCCCTGAACAGAGTGAATACAACAAAACCGTACCTGGCAGGTGTAGCCCTCCTCAGATAATTCCCAGTCCAGACTCAGAAAAGCACTCATTGATGACCAGCTAGAAAGTCTCTGAGGGATGTGTGGCCTCTGGCTGATACAGTGAAAAAAACCCAAACAGGAAAAACAGTAAACAAAAGATAAGAAACATTTCAATAGAAGTTCTCCTACTCTATAACTTAACTTCTTCCATTGGTAAAGAGGATAATCTTACTCAGTCTTCATACAAGAGGCATAAAACCCTTGCTAAAATTTTGCTTTAAAGAAGAATGATTGGAAGATAAAAGATTTCAGGGAACATTAGGAAAATGGCACTCCATTCCACAATAACATTGCATATTTCTAATTTTTCCAAGCAGGTTTTCTGACATTAGATATATTTTGTAAACCTCACTTACCTGCTAGTGAAACCTCTTGTGAGTCAGTTTGCTGGTAGCTCTGGGAGCAAGATTATTTATAAAGGAAATGAAGCCAAGACAGTCTTTGCGTAAGGGAAAGATTGGAACATCTAAATCAAAGAGGACGACAGTTGTTTCATGGGCATAACCTTGAATTAGGATCTCTGTAAAATAAATCATCCACTGTCTCTTGAAATATTTATAAGGAAAAAAAAAAGAACAAACTGCCCAATCAAAGGGAAAATATTCTCTTTCAGATAGATTATCTTTTCAGCTACTCCTCTTTATAACCTCTCTTCCTAATATTTGGAAGGAGGAGTGTGTAAATCACAAAAAGATCATAGACTATATTATAAATAGCATTTACACTCAGGTAAATGGTTGAGAAGGTATAAGATATTTATTGCCAATGAGATGATTTTCACTGCCTTTGTTTTCAACCTATCATCTCTACTAAAGACACAACTGGTGGTTGAATTGAAAAGTTAACCAGGTGGAGAGAACTCAGCAGCACCAAATCCAACTGTCTGAATAAATACAAGTGATCATTATGGAAATATGTAATTCAGGTTGTGAAGGTTAAAAAAAATGTAGTGAGCTTTAACAATATTCCATGAAGACGTGGTTGGCCCTATTACTGAAACAAATGGGAAGGAATAGGATAAGTGAGTCACCCTAGGGAAAAACTTCACATTTAGATCTATTAAATAGCAATTAAATTTCAATGCCCAAAAGCAGAATTATATTCTTAACAGTATAAGTGGAGTAAATTTGTTTGCTTCCAGGCTACCAAAGAAAAATTTAAGTCTACTTCAGAAAGGGTGAATTCAGGTTCAGGAAAAGAGGACTTAATTGATCTCTGTGCAGCAGGATTGGTAAAAACATAAACCCACAGCAATTAGCAGTTTGACAGCTTCAGTGAGAGTAGTTTGGATCCCTGGAACATAATGGCTGGAGGAGAAAAAGCTTAGCAACTCATGCAAAGGGAGGGCACCTGAAAAAATTAAAAAACCTTCAAAAATGAAAGTATTTTCATCATCTTTGAGTGTCCTTCAGATTTTCAAGGAGAAAAAAACGTGTCTCACTCTTACTATTCATCTTCAATTGTACACACATTTTCTTTTAACTTCCTTTTCTTTAGACCAGTTGAACCTGCTGAGTGCCATTATAATATGCAGAAATAATTAAATAGAATAAGTCAAGAAGACAGCTGGTGTCACAGGAGTGCAGAACATTTGTTTACTATTTTTTTACTTGCATTATGCAGCATTTGAATGACTTCCTTCAGATATAACTGGTTATGGTCTTTGCAGGTGCAAGCTTCAGGCATACTCATTCTTTATACTGTCAGGCAGAACTCATCCTGTGAATTCAGGTTCTTTGCACTGCTTTGCACATGAAGACACTCATCAGGTGCCTCAAAAGTTGTAAAGGCCTTCACTGCTTGTGTTATAAATTTCTGTTCTACACTAAGAGTGCAATATGCAGCCTGACAATATACTGTATGCACAGAAAAAAATTGTACTGTAAGCTGTGATAAATAGTTAATAAGGAAAAGTCTATAGATTCAGACTTGCATTGTATTTTGGTTACAGAGAAAAGAAACACACTGGAGCACTGGAGTCACAGAGAGTGGTTCATTCAGCCTTGGGCAACAAGTAAGTTTGGAAGAAGTCTGAATTGAGAATGAAGTGTAGAGTCAGAACTCTGATGATATTTAGTCAGAGAAGTTGTGGATGCCCCATCATTTGAAGTGTTCAAGGCCAGGCTGGATGGGGCTCTGAGCACCCTTGTCTAGTGGAAGGAGTCCTTGCCCATGGCAGTGGAGTCAGAACTAAATGGTCTTTAGGGTCCCTTCCAACCAAACCATTCTGTGACTCTATGCAAAATAAAGACATCAGTTCAAAACTCCAGTATGTCCCTACTAGGATTTCAAACACCTCTGTTCAGGGATAAGGTGAATGCCACTCCAACCAGCCCAACAAAGCTGGGACTGTAGGTGTGTGAGGGACAACACCGTGCCCTCAAGTTCTACCTGCAGCTCACAGAACTCTCAGGCTCCAGGATCACATTGAGCGCAAAGCTGGAGCAGCAGGAGAGCTTGGGATGCATTTCCTGTACTTTTGACTTGGCCACAGAGGCTCTCTGCTGCTCAGCAGAGGTGTCTGATGCCATGGGTAAATGCACAGTGAGTGTTTGAGGAAGCACATTTATAAGAAATAGGAAGGCTAGTATTTATCAGAGTTTTATTCTGAAAAGTGCTGTGGGCATTTAGAAAAGGGATCAGAGGTGAGAAATAAGTTAAAATGCCCCTTGACAAGTCACCTACCTAAGCATAAATCATTTTATGTTAATTTTTTCCCTTTGTGAAGGGAAGGTATGTAAATAGGAAAGGCCAGGAATTATTCAAGCCAGGAGTTATTAGATTTTTTTTTTTTACTATGTAATATTAAAAAAAAGTACTATGATGAATTACAATGAAAAAGCAGCTAGAATTGCATGTCATAAATAAAAAAAATAATTCCTGTTATCACACTACGTAAAATTTATTGAATTTATTGTTTCTATTTATAAATCAGCAGATTATTTGAGTTTGAAGGTTGAAAAATGCAAAATAATTAGAAAATGGCCTTATCACCCAAAAAAACTTGTTATAATGATTTTTCCAGTTCAGTGTTTAAAAAAATATGGTCAATTTAACACTCATATTGACTGTGTTTTCATCCCACTGTGTTTCAATTCAAAAGAAAACTCCAGGAAATAAACAGCATTTTTACAACATGTGAAGAGAGTAAGAGATCTAGAAATTGTAGCAAAAGAGAAACGTATAAATAGTCCAGGCTTTCCAGGAGGAGACAGGACCAGTAGTGTTGGTTAGAAGAGTGAGTGAAAAATGAGACCTCAGAAGGGTCAAGAAACACACAATTTCCACAGCATTCACTCCCCGCCCCCCCCCAATCTAATATAGAGGGAACAGATCAGCTCTAGTTTATTAGCTATATTAAATACTTAGCAAAATCTCAGATTCTGTAGCCATGACCTTTAACAAAACAAGCAAGCATGGGTTTAGCCTGCCATTTCATTCTTGCTACACAGTAGATCTGTTAGGCCAGATTTTTATTCCATGCAATTTTCAAAATGCTGTGCAAACTTGGAGCTTTGCAGAAAAGGCAACTATTAGGCTACTCTGTCATCAGAAAGCAAACAATGATCTTTTGGGGACAGATGGCTAGAGAAAACATTAGCAGGAGAAGAGGTTTTTCTTAAGCAGAAGACAGTCTAATTGTAAATTGGCAAATCAAAAATACGTAAGTATGTGCAGTTTTATTACTAGTAATCCAGTATTTGCACAAAGATGCCACCAATTAATTTTTCAGTGACTTGCAGTATGCAAACCAAGCAAGTTTTAGGGAATTTCTGGAGGTACACTGGTAATGAATTTGTCCCTGAGGCACACCATATGGTCAAACAGATCTTGAAGAAGGAAGGATTCAGCCAACTTTTTTGGATGTCAGCATGTTTTATCTTGCACACTGAAATATAGCAAGTGATAAAATATGGGATTAGAAGGCCAGTAGAAATGTTTTTAATGAATCTGGTCTTTTTTGATCAATTTTTCTAAAAGGAATTTTCTATGAAATTTTGTTAAATCCTACAACATAGTCAAGCAGTGTATTAAACTTACTACATGTGGGAGTTGTGTGGTCTACTTAAATGTTAACATTTACTTATTTATAAATAATTTGATTTGCTATTTTTCTGTTGTGCTGTTGCAAGTGTTCTAGGTATAATATTTCAACATGAAAAGTTAGTTAGGTTTTAGAAGGAAAAGCTGACATTGCTTTTGCCCTGGGAGATCATTTTCACACACATAGTATAGTGGTCAGGTTCTACTCAAATATTGGTATTCAATGTGACCAAAATTTTTTTGATTGATGCAAAACATTTTCCATTCAGTCAATAGTATATCAGGAGAATTTAGTAATCTTACTAAAAACTACATTAATTTCTTGAAAAGTGTGAATGAGAACAGCTAAAAGGAATACATGCTTTTTAAACTTTTTAAAGGGTTTTTTAAAACTTTTTGTTTACTAATTAGTTTGTTTTCCTTGTGTTTCCTCTTTATGGAACTTTTGGAGGATATTCTAACCATAGAAACCATTCTAACTGTAGAAAACCTAGAACATAGAAAACGTAGAAAACCTAAACAAATTAACATTTGTTAATTTGATTATCCATGATCAAAATTAGTATTTAATTATTTTCACTTTCAAAAAGCAAATACTGTGACCCTTCTCAATTTATAAATTTATTTCTATGAATTTGTTTCTATTATGAATTTATTTCTATTTATTTACATTATTATCTCCAATTTATTTAAGATCCTGAATTATTTTTTTCCTTTTTCTTACTAATTTTGCTTCTTCAGTACTAGCAACAACATAATGTTAATTATTTATTAATGTTAATTTCTCTTGTAGTTTTAAGTGAAAGCTATTTTAATTAATACAATCACCTTCAAAAAATCAACACATCCTTAATTTTTCATTATACTTAGATAAATGACAGCATGTATCTGTAGATTTGGTTCATTTTACTTGTTAAAAACTTTTCTGTAACTATGGTCAAAAGATAAAAGGTTTTATATGAACTTATAGCCAACAAAGCCTTCAGGACAGATGTAAATTCACTTTTTTTTGGAAAACTCGAGTCTTTCAACAGTCAGGAGGAGCCAATACCTTAGAAGGGAAATATCCAGAACTTTGTGTTCTCCTCTTCCAGAACATTCTACACGGCAGGAGATCTTCCCTCTTCTCCTTCTAGCCTGGTTTATGGCAAGAATTGATAATAGAACACTGTGGCATACGTCAGGCAGCCTTGGATTTGAAATTCAGGTCCCTTGGGATGATTTGCTTCTCTTACCATTCCCTGTCCGATGAGGTGGATGTTTTATTGCCTAATTGCAAAGCATGCATCATCTTAAGGACAGCAAAATTAAGTCTCTTGTAAAGTGATAGTCACT